CCCTTTGTAGACTCTGAATTTGAACTTCCTTCTGCCGAGGAAGAGCAACTTATCGAGCTGTCCTGTGATTCGACGTTCAAATTGCTGTTTCCTTCGTTACCGTTACTGGAGTTTTGGTTCCAAGCTAGGTCTGTTTACCCTGAAATTTCCAAAAGGGCTGTAAGACATCTGTTGCCATTTCCCACTACATATCTTTGCGAGACAACATTTTCTCATCTTGTACACATGAAAAACAGATATAGGAACGGACTTAACGTGGAGCCAGATCTACGTCTGAAATTATCCAGTTTTGATCCTGACATTCGAAAGTTGACGTCTGAAAAACAGCACCAGTCATCACATTAGGTGAGTGTTAAATTCATAATATTACGCCTAATTGATATGTTCGTAATCTTCCGAATATCTCCATTTATAACAGTATTTTATTGTCATAAATGACACATTTAGTGTTGTAAAATTTTAAGTTACTGCTTCATTTTTATGATATGTACTCGTAAAATTAAAAAATTTCCATTTTGGGTTTTATGGGGGCCGCGGTGAATTAACATTCGGTACAGGGGGTCCGCGGCATCAAAAAGGTTGGGAAACACTGATATAGTACAATACAATTATAAATATATATGTACAGCTTATAATTTATGCATGTCTCTAAATTTTGTGACATGTTCATGCTCTCATATTTCTAGAATAACACTGCTACAAAGCTGTAAATCTTCCAGTGTGTGTGTGTTACTTTAATTGACTTTCTGCTTGAAGGTTCCCTGTGGATAAAATAACAGAGTATTCTCAGTATTCATGGATCTAAGAATAGATACTGTAGAGGTGGTGGTCTCTGAGGACAATTCATGAAGCAAGTTTTTGACTCCTCCCTGTTTAGTGAGGAGTACAAATTATGCAGTTACTCATGCACCTTTCTCCAGCCTCTTTTTATTTCCTCTCTCTTAGGTCCAAGCATTCTCCTCAACAGTCTGTTCTCAGATACCTTCAATGTGTTGTTCTTTTAAGGCAAGATGTCATGTTTCACACCAATACAGAACAACAGCAAAATTATAGTTTTTGTGTACAGATGTCTCAATTATTGTTTCAAAATTAAACTTATGTTACAGACAGGCAGTGGCATATTCAGTGGTAAAATGTAGAATATTAGCACAGGTAAGGAGTCCTGTTTAGTCCTCCACAAGTCCATATTACCAAAGCTGGCAGATATCATGGTAAGATACAAGTGTCAAGTGTTTGGAAGCATACCTGGTGTCAGTGTGGTAAATGTGGCCGAGATGTCTTCTCTGAGATAGCATGTTGAATGACGTGGATAGTCATGAGCTCTGCTTTTATTATGTACTTTCATGGAAAGCTTGTTGAATGTAACAGCTATGGAATTGGAGGTCACAGTAACCACACCAGTTGTTGCCAAATATGAGGTCCATTTACCCTGTTAGGTGGGGCACCACCACATAGGAAGACAATACTGCTCAGTAGTCCATCATTGAAGATTTGCAGCATAGCATAGTGTTGAGACATATCAGAGTATGGATTTGAAGAAATTGTGATCTTTACAAAAAATAGGGGCTCAAAATCATGTCTCAAACCAGTTGTTAACTTAAATGGCTGTATCTTAGAAGTGTTTTGCCCACAAACACAGAATGTTATATGCTGTTAATGGTTTCCTTCCTGAGTGCATGTATCCGTTACAGGTAGTATGGAAGCAGCATCAGTTGTTTATGTACAATTCATTGACTTGAGAGATATATGTAACTTAGGCAATAATCATTACAAGGGTGTACCTGGACTTCCACTCATAGCTTCCCACACAGCAGTCACACCTATTGGTAACCCCATATCTAGCATGCCTGTTTTCTAAAACTGTCTGCCCTAATGAATGCCATGTGATGCTGGCACACATATCATGCTGTAGAGATGGCTCAGTTCATGTTGGATGTACACAAATACTCTTATTACTATTTAATGTTCTGAGTAGAAGATGGGATGGTAAAATTCTTTAAATGAAGGAGTATGATCTAGGCTGTAATGGTACATGGTTCAGTAGAAATCTGCTGAAATTTTGAAGGAATGTATCTCCTCTGTGTTTGGAGGTGAAGAATAAACCACGCAAGAAGTCAGCAAGAAGCAGATGTCAAGCAGAACTATTTTTCTTGCTTCGCTACTCTTCAGTCATGAGGATGGAGGCAGATTTTTCCCAGAAACATTGGTGAACTTCTACCGAACTACACAGCATCATCACTTTAAGAACCTCAAATCCAGCAGTTTTTTAACAGATTAATTATCATGTCTCAAATTTCATCATGAACTTAATTTCCTGTTGGGCCAAGGTGCTTCAATTTTGAAATAATTGTATTGTAATCAGTTGTAAAAGTAATATGTCTAGTGGCTGAAAGGTGAACATTTTTCATTATCAATTTAAGTGATTCAGACATGATGTGACTTTGTTGTAAGTGGGTTTAGTACGAAGATTGGTTTGAGGGGGGGGCAAGAAGTACTGACTTCATGTTTAATCACCAGAATGTAGGACAAAGTCATAATATTAGAAAAATTAATGAATCATTTGAGTATGTGGTGAAGTTCAAATATTTGGAAGCAACAGTAGCAAATCAGAGTTATTTATTTACTTACTCATGGAGTTGAGCCCTACTTGAGGAGCTGCCAATTCTGCAGCTACTCAAGAATTTCCCAGCATTTTATGGAACCCAAAGGTTCATTACCATGTTCACAAGAGGCTTCCACTGGTCCCTATCCTAAGCCATATCAATCCAATTCATACTGTCCCATCTTGTCTCTCTAAGATCCATTTTAATATTGTCCACCCGCACATGCCTTGGTTTTCCCAGTGGTCTCTTTCCTTCTGGCTTTCCCACCAGTATCCTATATGCATTCCGCTTCTTCCCCATTCATGCTACATGCCCTACTCACCAAATGCTCCTTGGTTTGATCATTCTATTTATACTTGGAGAAGAGTTATATTTGTGATGAAGTTAACAGTAGATTAGATATGGAATATGCTTCCTACCATTTACTGCACTGCTATTTTGTCTGCTCGCGTTCTGTCTAGATAACAAAACAAAATGGTACAAAACTGTATTCACCCAGATGTGTTATATAGGTGTGAAACTTGGTCACTCATCCTAAGGAAGTGGACTGGGGCTGTTAGTGAATGAAATGTTCAGCATAATACTTGAACCCAAGGAAGTAGACCCAGGCCGTTAGTGAATGAAGTGTTCATCATAATACTTGAACCTAAGGAAGTTCATGGCAGATGAAGAAAATTATGTAATGAGGATCTTCATACTTTGTACTCTTGGCTTCATAATGTGAAATCGAAAAGGCTGTGATGGGCAGGATGTATAGTGCACATGAAGGAAATGAGAAATATTTACAGAAAGTTTGGTTCAGAAGTGTTAAGGAGGGGATCAGTTGGGAGATCTAGGAATATATGAGAGATTAATGTCCAATCAGAGCTTAGAAAGGGTATGTAATGATGTGGAATGAGGATAGTATTGTGGTCTGCCTTTGAAAACATGAAATGAGCCTCCTAGTATCTTGAATGCAGTCCATTTCTTGACAATCAAGGTAACTTTCAGCTTTCAGAAAGACCAATATACATAGTTAGGGTATATTTAAAGGTTGAAATTGTTGAGCTATCTAAGACCCGTCTTGGGTTGTAGAGCCATTACAGAAGATATTTAATGGTTTGCTGATAGATGTTGTTTTGTAATTTGTAATGTCCTTAGGTTGGGCCAAGTCCCTATGAGAATTCAGCAACAGCAGAGTCTGCCACAACAGACGCAGCAGCGACAACCCATTTTAATGGGTATCCAGCCCCAGGCGAGCAGCCCTGGTAAGGTTATATGATTTTGTTGCAGTAGAAGTTTTGTATTTGAGGTTTATGTAAACTGAGTAGTTACAATCAATTTCAGCCCAGTTGGTAAGGGTTTTATGGTAATGAGTGTGGCAGTGGTCATCTTTTGCATAATCTGGGTGGTTGCAGCTCAGCAATGAATTGCATTGTAATTGCAATGTAGGCTGTTCTTCATTATGGTGTAAAGCAAGCAAGAAACCAGCTTGAAGCATGCAGCAGGCAGGGGACAGGCATTGGTTCACTTAACTTTGTCACATAGTGTTCAATCCCAGGAGATAGAAGTCTTCATATTCGCTGCTGAGAGAATCCAAAGTGTAACACAAATGCACTTTAATTATAACATTAAGTTTTAAACACTAACTGAGAAGTGGGGCTGCTGTAATGCATGGTCATTAAGAATCTCAGGATATTCCATCATATGGCCATGACTCTTCCATACATGCATGGGTTTATTATCTCGAAAAGAATCACTTTTATCTTATGTTCTCTATCACCCTTTTTTCGTTTCCTTTATCCTTTATTCACCTTCATCTCCTCTTTCTCCCATATTCATTTTCCACTCATTTTATTTTTTTATCCTGTTGTTATTTGTTTAAACAATACATAAACATCCCTGGATGCCTGGCAATTAATGCCATCTGTCAGAGTAACCGCATTGTCTGTGAGCAGGCTGTTGTAAGACTGCAACGTTTTCTCCAAAGTGTGGGACCTCTATGAACAGAAACAAAGATCACAGATATAATGATATTGACCTTTATGTACATGATTATTTACTAGATATATTTTCTAGGAGTAATCAAAATGAGGCAAGATTGATTACAGGCATAGAGTGATGACAGTAAATTGAGGGCTAAACAAGACTGGAAAATTTCTTGGATGCTAGCTCATCCAGGTCAGCAAAACTTTCTCATTGGTATCTGAAATGTTCACTGCCCGACAGAATTCAAAAGTACAGTTTCCCTTAACAGTTCCTGAAGTCTTGGTTTTGTTGGACGTGGAGGACATGTTAGGGAAACAAAAGTCCACAGTTCTGTTTTGTGTTTAATAACATATGCTTGTATTCGTACATTTTATACCAGCGCAAAGTTCAACACACTATATAATAGCATAATTTATTCTGTACTATGTATGATGTGTGTAAAAATGCTAGTTTCCTCATACTATGCTGTTGTTTTTTTTTTAATGTACATAGATACTATAAAGTTTACTGTGTTCTATTGCCAGCATGTATGACAGCCAAGGCTACTGTGGCAACATGTAATTATTGCTTTATAGTTTCTAGAGTTAGTTGTTCCCAAATTATTTTAATTAGATGTGTAAACTCTTAATTTGCCCTGACATTTATGCTTAAATATTGTGGTGAAAAGACATTTAATTGAATTACATGTATACTTTAATTTCTTCTGGTCTGTATGCTTCATTTTTTTTAGTCCGCAAGCAAACTATACCGACCTAGTGACCGCCGCTTGTCAGCAAAGTTATTGCCAACTTTAGTGGATAGAGGGTGTTGCGTGGTCAGCGCAGTGAATCCGCATGGCCGATAATTTTGCTACTTTCACTTTCAAGTAGCTCCTCAGTTATCCTCACGAGGCTGAACGTACCCTGTTCCAGACCCACTACTTCTCAGAAAATTTGGTAGTACATGGAATCGAACCTGGTACCTCTGGATCTGTAGCCAGGAACTCTGACCACTAGACCACAGAGGCGGCTCTCTATGCATAAATATCGTGATAAAATACATTTCCAAGCTGTGCTTGCTGCCTGCTTCATGCTGGTTTCTTGCATGGTGTATTTTTGAACCCTGAAGAGAGAGGTGACATGTTCCTCCGAAACATCAGTTGACTTTCATAAGACTACACAGCATTATGCTCCAGAAGACAGAACTCTTCAAAATGTTTTCATTTTACTAAGGAATTATATGACCAGACAATTAAAAATTGATAACATAATTTGAGTGTTATTCCTTCTTTAAAGTTTTAGGTATTATATATTGTGATATTGACAAGGAAAATAACCATATGCTGAGCAGAGAATGGATACTTCTGCTAGTTGCTTATAATCAGAATGAACTATATTTATTTGATTTCTCGATACCAAATATTATATTATTTGTCCAAGAATGTTGAATGATGTCTGCTTGATGTACAGTATAGAATATCTGGCTTCCATTTAGACAGTGTGAGTATGAAAAATGCTCCTGCACTTTACTTGCAGTGGGGGAAGATGTGCATTATGAATGCTTGGTTGTTGTATTTCAAACCAAAACACATTGGTCATCTCCTGTAACAGATTTATATCTGCTACCAGCTGCACTTTCTGAGTAATGTTCAAAAACTCATGCTTTTGGCTGAAATACTGACAAATATGGAAATATGAGTAAATAATGAAATGGTAACTGTATTTGTGACTGTTTCTTATGTATTAATTAAATACCATATTTCAATTGCTGTTGAATACCAGTCCCATATTTTTAGGCACCTGTGGCTAATGTTGGAAACTCAGCAGTGTGCATAAAGATTACTGTGTTCAGTTTAACCTTTATAAGCTGAAGGACACCGTATGGGTACCTTTAAAGTAGAGCCGAGTGGCTGAAAGACACCGTATTGTGACTCACAGTCCACACTTGTGCACAGTGTTTTAAAATCTAATTTTAAGATAGAAATTCTTGTTCTAATTACATTATTTTTGGACACTCGCTTTATAAGTAGACTGTCTTCCCTCCTGCATCATCTAACTGAATGTTGCATATAACTGAATGCATAGTCTAACGTTGCAATTCATGCCCTTTGTCCGTATGTAACTCTGTTTTCCACGCGAAGCACACACATGCAACATCAGTCTCGTATTAGCTGGAAGTCAGCCAGTGTTGCCAATTTGCCTTCTCTAATCATAACGCTTATAAAACATCGCAATTTCAACTATCCCCCATGGCCCCATTTCGCATGGAAGAAGCCGAAGTTAATAGGCAGCTGATAAATTTCACCGATTTAGAATGCCGTACGTAAGACTGAGAGTACGTAGAAGCAAGAGGCCATGTGGGGGCCATTCTAAGAAGCTTAACAGTACTTCTTGTGTGGCAGATACGTGTATACAGAGTTTCTGAGGGACGTGACCTCACTCCTGTATACAGAAAGGTTCCGAGTGCTATAAAAGCATAAGCATTTCCTCCCCTTTGGCCAGATAAGCCAGTACCAGTATGAATGATGTCAGCAGCAGGCATTTATACTGCAGAAACTGACTGCATATTTATGGACAGATTTTTTTTGGAATCAGTGTAACAATTTTTACAGATTCTAAAATCTGTATATTACATTATCTGATTCTGTATTCTTTCTAGATTAAAGTAGCGTTTATTTCGTTTGTTTATCACAAAAATTGTAGAAATCACAGCATTTTCAGTAACATGATTACAATTTTTATTACTCTACAATGGCGGGCATTTAAATTAACTCCGTCCCGCTGCCATTACCGGAATTTAAATGGCCCGTCTCTTAGAGGTTAAGGTTCTCACAGTGGTTACTATAAAGAGTGGTATTCTGGATTCAGAAAAAGCCCAATGTTTCAAAGGAACATATCACCTACATCTTCAGGGTTTAAGAGTAAGCCAACCTAGAAACCAGTCAGCAGTCAGTAAGCAGAACATTAACACTTGCTTATTGTTGGTTTCTTGCTTAGCCTACACTTCGTTACACAAGGTGTAAGCAATATGTTCCTCCAGTATGTCAGACTTAGTCTGAGCTACACACTGTTACAACTGAGAAGAACATGCTCTTCAGTGTATATGATATTTCTGGAATAGCATCTTGAAAATAGACTGTAGCTGTCATTTTAACATATAATAATTTCAAGAACAGGGTTTTAACCTATATCACTTACTAGGATTTTGTAGGCACTCACTCATGGTTGGCCTAATTTCGGGAAAAGTGTTTGAACCCTTTCACTTTTGAGGGAACTCATATTTGGCCTTTGATATGTATGGATAGTTTCATATCTTGATTCTTTCTTGAAGTGTCATAAAAATGTGTGTGGCTGCATGGCTGCAGTTGTTTCGTTTACTCTGTCAGCATTTCTATCTCAAAATGTTCTGACATTTCTCCTAACCTGCTGTTATAGAGAAGTGAGATTAGGTATAAAGACTCTTGAGATCTTCTGCATTTCCTCCACTAAAAGGTCTGCACAACACATTAATAGAATGAAATTTGTAGTAGCTGGAAAGTGACAATACATTTTGTGTAAGTTTCATAAAAATTCACATTTATTTGTAACTGATTGCACTCAAATTCAAAGCAGTTATGAAGCATGTTTATTATCTTCATTATGTCTATACATTCAAGAATTGGATGTTCCTTAAATTATTTCCCTAGACTTGTTAGAATGAGAGATATCAAAATAAACGTATGATAGCAGAAATAGTCTTGTCAGTGTGTTAAGTGAGAAGAGTAATAAGCTAAACAATGCTTTTGAACTGGGTAATGGCCAGCTACCCCCTTCCATCTGCTTTTTTTGGGGGGTCAAGGGCTTCACACCTACAGTTTACACATTTTGTTTGTTGTGTTTAATGGAATTATCCACTCCTGGGGTTAAGTGTTTGTTTACTAAAAATTGTGTAGTGATTGTAATATATACCCATCACGTGTAGGTTGGTACGCACAACGAAAATGACTGGTTCTAATTTGGATGATTGGATTTATTAGCACTTCGGTTACACTCTCTCTCTTAATTACACTTAAATACAGCACTATTGCTGATTTACATGCACACACTGGTCCTCTCCTGGTACCACAATTAAAATGCAGGAACTATAACAATCTCACTAAATTATGCACTCTCAATCCCACTGCACTATAGCACACATAAAGCCTTCAGTTTACAAGTTAACTCATCTTCAAATGTGAACTTCCCATGGCCGTAACCTACCAAGAACTCAGAACTCTGTCACTTACTAGTTCCAGTTTGCTCACTCGTGTGCTCCCGCCGCT